TCTAACAATTTTTACAATATATACCCAATACACACAAATCTAGTAAGGAATGGAATTCAAGAATATATACATATATGGACAAGCAATGACAGAGCGGCATGGACTAAGATACAGTAGAATATTATAGAATAGAATACAGTATATATATATGAGATGAGTAGTGCAAGATATGTAAACATTATTAAAGTGACTAGTGTTCCATTTCTTAAAGTGGCCAGTGATTTCAATAGGCAGCAGCAGCCTCTAATGTGCTAGTGATGGCTATTTAACAGTCTGATGGCCTTGAGATAGAAGCTGTTTTTCATTCTCTCGGTCCCAGCTTTGATGCACCTAAGAATTTGTTCTTAACTGACTTGCCTAGTTAAATAAAGGTTAAATAAAAATAAATAAGCATAAGCATGTCATGGGGAGAAGCGATAGAAATGCAAAGAGATGTGAAAGATGCTCCAGTCATCTGAGTGCAAGGTGTTCTCCTGACCCAGCTGACGCTGCGAGGGAAGGGCTGTTTATCGCACAGCTGCAGCCCAGGAGAACACATCAGCAGAGTTCGCCCACCTTTCAACTGCAACAGAGCTACACACCACACACACACACACAGTGGAAAAGGGAAACTACTCAAATATGGTGGAAACTCCTCTGTGTAGCCTTTGTTTACACCTATTCAATGCTTTTACATTCATGAGGGTGAGACTGTAAGCAAGTGCACATTCCGGGGAGAAAGGTAGGGAATGGAGCCACAGCCCTGGCCTCTCTTCCACCCACCTGGATCCACAGCTACAGACTCTCTTCCACCCACCTGGATCCACAGCTACAGACTCTCTTCCACCCACCTGGATCCACAGCTACAGACTCTCTTCCACCCACCTGGATCCACAGCTACAGACTCTCTTCCACCCACCTGGATCCACAGCTACAGACTCTCTTCCACCCACCTGGATCCACAGCTACAGACTCTCTTCCACCCACCTGGATCCACAGCTACAGACTCTCTTCCACCCACCTGGATCCACAGCTACAGACTCTCTTCCACCCACCTGGATCCACAGCTACAGACTCTCTTCCACCCACCTGGATCCACAGCTACAGACTCTCTTCCACCCACCTGGATCCACAGCTACAGACTCTCTTCCACCCACCTGGATCCACAGCTACATACTCTCTTCCACCCACCTGGATCTTTTGGTATTTGGTATTTTATTAGGATCCCCATTAGCTGTTGCAAAAGCAGCAGCTACTCTTCCTGGGGTCCACACAAAACATGAAACATGACATAATACAGAACATTAATAGAGAAGAACAGCTCAAGGACAGAACTACATACATTTTATAAAAAGGCACACGTAGCCTACATATCAATACATACACACAAACTATCTAGGTCAAATAGGGGAGAGGCGTTGTGCCGTGAGGTGTTGCTTTATCTGTTTTTTGAAACCAGGTTTGCTGTTTATTTGAGCAATATGAGATGGAACAGAGTTCAATGCAATAATGGCTCTATATAATACTGTATGCTTTCCCTCCATCCTACGGTGACTGTTTAGGCTCTGGTATTATTATTATTATTTTTTTAACCTTTATTTAACTAGGCAAGTCAATTAAGAACAAATTCTTATTTACAATGACAGCCTACACCGGCCAAACCCGGACGACGCTGGGCCAATTGTGCGCCGCCCTATGGGACTCCCAATCACGGCCGGTTGTGATACAGCCTGGAATCGAACAAGGGGGTCTGTAGTGACGCCTCAAGCACTGAGATGCAGTGCCTTAGGCTGTGCCACTCAATAGCCATCACTAGCACATTAGAGGCTGCTGCTGCCTATTGAAATCTATTCACCTGGTAGAAATTTGGACTCTGAGAGACCATTCGGTGCCAACAGGCCTAAACCACCAGGAGGGTCAGGGGAGGAGGGATGGTTGTCCATTCCTGAGAGTGGAGGATGCATGCTCCACACCCTCCTGTCTCCAGGGGGATATAGGGAACCTCAGCTTCCTCATCATCACTACCGATCATCATAACATCAGCCACCTCTATCCCCACACCCAGGCCCCCAGGCCCCCCTACTGCCCACAGCCCCCCTACCACTCCCTCTGAGGTGGAGACAGGAGAGGAGGAGATGGGGATCTCTATATCGGAGCTGTCCAGGACCACCAGGTGTGGTTTGTCTATATGGCTCTGGGACGCTTGGCTGAGGCTACGGCCGGGCTGGAGGAAGTCATACACAGGGAGATCCTCGTCCAGGACACTGGTGGTCACTGTAGCTGGCCATGGTGGCTCCAGTCTCAGACAGTTGAGACTGACTGTAGATGGACAAAGCAGGTTAAAATCAGAACCATGGTGTTATATTGGCGGTACCATTGGACATACATATTTAATTTACAATCTATTGCATTCTATTTTGAGACGGCATATGCTATACAAAACAGTCTCTATATTGGCCTTCCTCTCTGGCCATATCATCCTCGAGAAACCTCTAGCGGGCACTGTTCTTCTGACGTTGTAGTTCCGTTTAGCAGACAATGTCAGTAAGAACAGTGCTCGCTAGCGGTCTCTCGAGGCTAATCACATACATCATGCAGCTAGCTATACAGTTAATACTAGTAACTTGTAAGTAATTATTGTAACAGTAACAGAGGGCTATAGTCTGGGCTAATGCCATACTATTACATTCACCTACATTAGCTAGTTAGCTAATTGCCCAATAAATGTTGTCGAGGTAAAACTAACCTCGCAAGCTAAAGTACAGTAACGTTTAGCTACCAATATATTCGCATACGTGAGCTACCTAGCTAACGTTAATAGTTAGATAGCTATTGTTGGTGAACACATAATACGGAGAGGGAGTACAAACCAACGACGCTAGACAGAGAGGAATTTGCTTAAGCAAAAGGCAGTTTATTAAAACAGAGATATCTTGTACTGTTTAGTTTAACATGCATGGACCTAATCATATGCCACGCTAATAGTGTCAGCTGAGAAGGATGTTTAAACAGAGTTTACAGCATTACTTTATACAATGTAACATAAAGGGAGGGATTCTTCTCCTAGTCCCTCGATTGGTTCCAGAGGCGTAGGAGGCGGGTCTGCTCTGTCCAGAGTAGAAGCCCCATTGGTGCACGGCAGAGTCCTCTGCCCTTGGCACCCAACCAGTAGACAGGGGAGTGGAGTTTGAGTGTGCATGCACAGTGAAATGTTTGTGTGTCAAAGAACTCGTGGGGAGTTGAGAATGAGTGTGCGTGCAAATGAAATGTCTGTGTGTGTCAAGGGAACTCGTGGGGCCTGTGGCGTGGGTGTTGTCCTGTTATTGCACTCCTGCAAGACTAGGCCATCTGGTGACAAGATATGGTGTTCTCCTCTGTCCTTTGTTCTCTGACCTGGAACAGCATTTATTGAAAACAAGCTCCTAACACAAATGGGTCTTGCACAACATTTTAGTCAGACCAATCTATAACATTTTATATTTACTACGACAAATTATATTTACTACGACACTATCTGTCAAAGTAATTGAAAATAACTAGCTACTCACATTGTTATTAAACCATTCTTGTAGAAGGTGTTCAACATTTTATTTTCAAAACAACATGAACAAAAGTTATTTCGCTAGCTATCTCGTCTTGCTAGCCATTGTAACTTTGGATTTTCTTGACAATTATGGATTCCGCGGGTTCGATGGACGACGGGAGGATTTTGATGTGACACAAGGTTTTCACTAGTAACCGCAGCCACAAAACTATGGCTAAACACCCGCCCATTTCTAAAAATAAGATTTTAACCCTAACCTCAACCACACTGCTAACCTTATGCCTAACCTTAAATTAAGACCGAAAAGCTCATTTTTGATTTCATGAATTGTTACGATATTGACCATTTTGACTTTGTGGCTGTGGTAACTAGTGATACAAGATGGCTGCTCTCGCGTCCTTGATGTTCAAGTCCAGAGCAGGTAAAATACACAAATTATCATTCATTTGCGTTAATTCAAACCTCTATGAAACACTTCTCTTTAGACTAATACACGCCAATGACGCCTATTTATTGTAAAGTTATCTAGCTGGATAACGTGTTTTTCAAACTAGCTGGTATGACATTAGCCACTCGCTCGTGTTCTGTAGCCAGCAGATCCGACCAGCTTGCTTAGAGCTACACTAGGGTCAGAAAGCGTACCTATGTATATTAAGACACCGTGGAGCCAGCTCGAGAAACATACCTCAACCCAGGGATGAGAAATGCGTTGTACTCCGAATTGGCCCATTATTCCAACTGTTACACCGAGAAGATTGAACTAGTAGTTCCATTACACATAAGAGTAATTGGAAGAAGGCGTCTTCTGTAGGGGGAAGTTTTATTAAGATCCCACACGCTCGGTCTGAACATTAACATGCATCGCTTGCTGTATGGTTTTGGAAGCATAAGGACCTAATCTTTCCTATCAGCGAGAAATAATAATTAAAAAAAAGGTGAAATTGATACACACCTTGATAGGGTTAGTATTCCCACACGGCCACATCCCCATGTTACAGCAGTGTGCTAATTAGCTATATAGCATGTTCCGAACACCTTGTGTGTAAGCGTAACTCAGGAAGTGTAGCGGAAATGTACTTTCGTCAGATGGAGGCACCCATCGCTGTATGGATCTGTGAAAAACTGCTACAGTAAGTGTATTTTTTATTTGAAAGATTGTTTCTCGCTGATGAAAGATAAGGGCCATATGTTTTCGATTGTAGTTCACATGAGGCAGTCGTGGGCAAAACAAATGCCTGAGAACTGTAGGGAGAAGGCATAATGCTGCCTAGAGTTTTGGAGAGCTAGGTCATGTCGGGACTACGGCTGGTGTATCAGGCAACTAGCTACCCACATTGGAAAGGAGTTGCTAGCGTAGCATGAGCATCACAAATGGCATTGAACAGCCCACTGTCATTACACAAGCCAGACAGTCATTGTATCCCCTTGCTACAACTTTTAGAATGTTTCCAAACTACAATGTTTACTCAATGAAATTGCAGGTCTTCTGCTCCCTTGCCAGTCCTCTCTTTCGGACTGGGTGCGGTTCGCGTCCAAGAAGGCAGGTGGTAGCAGCAAGAACCTCGGGGGAAAGAGCCCTGGTCGCAGATATGGCTTCAAGAAAACAGATGGTAGCTACGTGAATGCTCTTATTTGTCAGTATGCTTAGTTCTGACATCTCTGTGAGGTGCATGTTATGTCTTTCATCCTACTACTCAGAGGTATCGTGGCAAAGGAAACAAAACATGAGGCAGACTACATTTCCTGTGGAAAACAGTCCTAATGTTGGAAACAAACTTTCTTTTCCAAGCTATATCACACTATTTTACACACTATTTTTTTTACACACTGTTTCATACAGTAGTTTTTAAAGGACCACAGAGTTTATTCTGCTTTGTGTTTTCCTTTATGCCATGGAAAATCAGCTGTCATAGTATTGTGATACTGGTATCCTGACAACACTAGATCCTACACACTTCATGTTTGCATTATCTAACTAACACTTCTGTTTTGTTGTCATCCACCTTCAGGGAACTTTGTCCATGCTGGCAACATCCTAGCAACACAGAGGCTCATGAGGTGGCAACCAGGAGCACATGTAAGGTTTCACACTGTTAATATCCTGGGGTGTATTCATTAGTCGCACATCAGAGCAAAACGTTTTTCAACAGAAACCGTTTAAAACGATTTATATGTTTATATTGGGACAGATTCAGGTACGTCCCTCCCTCTTTCGTTTGGTTCCTAGTGAATACACCCCTGGAAGCTTTCAAATGTCTGCAGATCACCGGTTGATTGTCAACTAATCTCTCTTTCCTCTCCTTTCTTTCTCTCTCTCCTCTCTCCTCTCTCCTCTCTCTCAGGTGGGGATTGGAACCAACAACACCCTATATGCCCTTGAGGACGGCATTGTCAGGTTCACTAAGGAGGTGTATGTTCCAGCCCCACGCAGCTCTGAGATCTTCAAGGTCATCACCAAGCTGCCCACGGGAACTGTACTCTACAAGACCTTCATCAACGTAGTGCCCAACAAACAGGAGGGCAAATTCAAACTGGTTGGCATGTTCTAAAGACTGATGACTCATTCCGATTCCACTCTGTGGAAGTTCAAACCCTTCTCTTTCTATGGACTGGGCGGTTTGGATTTGAAAGGTTCTGTTCAACTGCGGACTCCTTTGTCGTGAATGTTGTGGAATTGAGCCACTGCGTGATGAGGATTCTGGAAGTTCTGAGGGAATTCCTCGAAAAGCTTCCTGTGTTGCTGTGGTGACCGTTGTCATCAAGCCTGCACTCTTGGAAATGTGACTGTGGTCGAAAGTTTAATCAGCAGGCACCTACCTGACTTGTTGTGCTGTAAGAAGACATGCGTATGTCACTCCATCCAATAAAGTTGTATATATAATCATGACATCAGCAGTCTGTTGTTGGAATTTTAAGCTTAGTCAAGAGAACAATTTCCTGTCTATCCAAAGGTATTTTAATTGTTGGGAATATTTTAGTATTGTTTGGGAAAATACAATATCTATGTTCGTCAAGCAAAAATGAAACCACCCCTTTATAAAGCGTGAGTGTGGTCTATAGTTCTTGAAGTAACCACCACAGGTTGTCTAAAGGCTCAAGTTTCCCCTCTGTTTTCTCCAAACAGGCCACGGAGGGCTAATGTAAAAACATTTATTTTTTAAAAGAAACTACAAAGCAGAGGGAAGTAATATATCAATATATTTTAAGCAGCAGATTTTCTTTATAAAGAACTCTCCTTAATCATTAACTCACAGCCCTATGCGTTCTCTTATAGCCAGCTACCTCACTCACATCATTTAGTGTAATTTCCTGTGAATTTAGTGTAAACCCATTCATAATCAGCTCGTACCAGGATTGACCCATTTTAGAGAATAACAAACTCCAAATAGACACATCCCACTGGGCAAAAACTGGTTGAATCAATATTATTTCCATGTAATTTCAACAACAAAAATCAACATGATGACGTTGAATCAACGTGGAAAACTGATTGGATTTGGAAAAAAGTCATCACCGTAAAGAAATTGTATTTTTTTAGTCTAACTTTTAACCAAAATCCAATGACGTGAGATTTTTTGTTGTATTCATGTTGAATTCACAGTAGTTGACAACTCAACCAAATGTAAATCAAAACTAGACGTTGGACTGACGTCTGTGCCCAGTGGGATGGCAGGATGTGTATAGTATACCCCAAACATTTTACAGATCATACTTTACTCAAGACTGGTAGATTGAGTTACAGTGGGGGAAAAAAGTATTTAGTCAGCCACCAATTGTGCAAGTTCTCCCACTTAAAAAGATGAGAGAGGCCTGTAATTTTCATCATAGGTACACGTCAACTATGACAGACAAAATGAGGAAAGAAAATCCAGAAAATCACATTGTAGGATTTTTAAATGAATTTATTTGCAAATTATGGTGGAAAATAAGTATTTGGTCAATAACAAAAGTTTCTCAATACTTTTATATACCCTTTGTTGGCAATGACACAGGTCAAACGTTTTCTGTAAGTCTTCACAAGGTTTTCACACACTGTTGCTGGTATTTTGGCCCATTCCTCCATGCAGATCTCCTCTAGAGCAGTGATGTTTTGGGGCTGTCGCTGGGCAACACGGACTTTCAACTCCCTCCAAAGATTTTCTATGGGGTTGAGATCTGGAGACTGGCTAGGCCACTCCAGGACCTTGAAATGCTTCTTACAAAGCCACTCCTTCATTGCCCGGGCGGTGTGTTTGGGATCATTGTCATGCTGAAAGACCCAGCCACGTTTCATCTTCAATGCCCTTGCTGATGGAAGGAGGTTTTCACTCAAAATCTCACGATACATGGCCCCATTCATTCTTTCCTTTACACGGATCAGTCGTCCTGGTCCCTTTGCAGAAAAACAGCCCCAAAGCATGATGTTTCCACCCCCATGCTTCACAGTAGGTATGGTGTTCTTTGGATGCAACTCAGCATTCTTTGTCCTCCAAACACGACGAGTTGAGTTTTTACCAAAAAGTTCTATTTTGGTTTCATCTGACCATATGACATTCTCCCAATCCTCTTCTGGATCATCCAAATGCACTCTAGCAAACTTCAGACGGGCCTGGACATGTACTGGCTTAAGCAGGGGGACACGTCTGGCACTGCAGGATTTGAGTCCCTGGCGGCGTAGTGTGTTACTGATGGTAGGCTTTGTTACTTTGGTCCCAGCTCTCTGCAGGTCATTCACTAGGTCCCCCCGTGTGGTTCTGGGATTTTTGCTCACCGTTCTTGTGATCATTTTGACCCCACGGGGTGAGATCTTGCGTGGAGCCCCAGATCGAGGGAGATTATCAGTGGCCTTGTATGTCTTCCATTTCCTAATAATTGCTCCCACAGTTGATTTCTTCAAACCAAGCTGCTTACCTATTGCAGATTCAGTCTTCCCAGCCTGGTGTGCAGGTATACAATTTTGTTTCTGGTGTCCTTTGACAGCTCTTTGGTCTTGGCCATAGTGGAGTTTGGAGTGTGACTGTTTGAGGTTGTGGACAGGTGTCTTTTATACTGATAACAAGTTCAAACAGGTGCCATTAATACAGGTAACGAGTGGAGGACAGAGGAGCCTCTTAAAGAAGAAGTTACAGGTCTGTGAGAGCCAGAAATCTTGCTTGTTTGTAGGTGACCAAATACTTATTTTCCACCATAATTTGCAAATAAATTCATTAAAAATCCTACAATGTGATCTTCTGGATTTTTGTTCTCTCAATTTGTCTGTCATAGTTGACGTGTACCTATGATGAAAATTACAGGCCTCTCTCATCTTTTTAAGTGGGAGAACTTGCACAATTGGTGGCTGACTAAATACTATTTTTCCCCACTGTAGGTGCCATTTTTTATATTGAGAGTATGAGCTACAGATGGCATGAATGGTATGTCAACTCCTCTCCCAGTGGAATGCAGGGGAGTGTGGAATACATTCAGAATACCCTGGTACATTCACCACAACATGACAGCTTGTCAAAACACTTCTGATGGAGGCCATCCTGATAACTGACGAGCGCTGAAGTTTAGATACATCATGTACAAAAAATATGTGTTATTAGATTTGTAAGTGCATAGTCAAAATGAGGTCGCTACTCCCTTCGCTGACATTGCTCACTATCTAGTCTAGGTTATGGACATATTTGTGCCTGGTAGAGAAAAACGGACATATTTGCAACTCACTTTAACAAACATCAATGAACAGAACCAGGAGTGTTCCCTTTTGACATCTTGACAGTAAGGTTGATATCAATCCTCATCATATTAATATAGGTCAAGTTAATACAAAATCTGAACTAATTTGTCTTACTAGCTAGGTTTCCATTCAATTGGCAACAGATTTTCATGTGAATATTCAATGAATCTGCATAAAGAAAATATGCACATTTTCCTACCAGTGGTGTATTTCCACCAAAGTGACTTGTTGCAGATAAAAATCAGTGTGATGACGTAGTGCACAAAAAATTACTTTTTCGCTTAAGTTTTCATATACCGAATAAAAATCTAATGTTCAATATGTTGCCATCGCATTTTCAACTCTACCGATAGTTTTGTCACACATTTTTTTACTTTAAATAGCAAATGTGCCTACTGGTTCAGCTTTTTAACTACTACTTTCACTTGCTTTTTGTTTGATTTGGGTCAGACATAATATGAATGTTTTGCATAGTACATATCTCAGTCTAACAACACATTGACAAACCCATTCCAGTTTAGCCCAGGAGGTAAAACGTCAGGGTCATGGTGAGTTTCTCTGTGCATAGTTAGAGTTTGACCTGGGTTAAGAAAAACAGTCCCTGGTCAACCGTCCCTTAGTGAACACACTTTGATTGTGTCTCAAATGGCACCCTGTTTCCTATGTAGTGCACTACTTTTGACAAAAGTAGTGCACTACATGGGGATTAGGGTGCCATTTGGGACACAAACCTTGTCTGTCTCAGTAGTGTTAATCATTTGTGACGCGTTCAACCACAACAGCTCTCTGGTCTGGCCCTACACTCAAAGCCGTCATCATCACATGTCAGGTAGCTGGGTATTCATAGCTCAGTGTTCTTTTGAAACAAGGAGATTTTGATTTTTCATTAACATGTTTGACCCGAGACAATGTCCTGGTTTTGTGGTTGTCTACGACTTTGGACGTTGTGATGAAGCATAAGATGTCTGCTTCTCAGGTGCGGACATCTTCTTTCCACACACTGGAGCGTGTCTAGAGTTTGAAATGTAGGCTTATTTGATTATTTAGCTGATAAAGGATATCAATGCCAGTGGCAGGATATCAAGCCATTTACTTCATACAGTCATGTTAAAGCACTCACTACACCAACAGACGACAGTCAGAGTTGAGAGCGTTAGTCTCAGGATGACAAACTCTGAGTGAAACTGAGTCATTCATTATCATGACAGTCTCTTTCTTTGTTGATTTGTCTTCTTTCCTCTTGCAAAGGGTGCATGAGTCTCTAGTTAAAATGCAAAGTAGAAAACCAGTAGTGCTCCGGACCTCAAAGAGCCCCTGGTCTAGACAGGGAAGAGTTCCCGGATGGGGCTCTGAATAGGGTGGTGGGGTGACGGGGCTCTATTGTCACTGTGTGTTTAAGGCTGGAGGTAGAGGTGGAGAGAGGGAGGTCTGAGGGAAGTGCCTCAACAGACTGTAGGTCTTCAGAGGTGATGATCACGGACTGGCGAAGAGTCTCCTCATACGTCGGAGGCTGTAGGAACAGAGACATTTTATGAGATCAAATTTACTGTAATAAATAAATATTCTATGTAATATTTTTTTTTTCTTCCTTTATGTTAACAGGGATTCCCATTGAGAGCAAGGTCTCTTTTACAAGGGAGCCCTGCAACATCCTTCCATAGTTTCATTGATGTAAATGAGAATGTGTTCTTAGTCAACTTACAGTTGAAGTCGGAAGTTTACATACACTTTGGTTGGAGTCATTAAAACTAGTTTTTCAACCACTCCACAAATTTCTTGTTAACAAACTATAGTTTTGTAAAGTCGGTTAGGACATCTACTTTATGCATGACACAAGTAATTTTTCCAACAATTGTTTACAGACAGATTATTTCACTTATAATTCACTGTATCACAATTCCAGTGGGTCAGAAGTTTACATACACTAAGTTGACTGTCCAGAAAATTATGTCATGGCTTTAGAAGCTTCTGATAGGCTAATTTACATAATTTGAGTCAATTGGAGGTGTACCCGTGGATATGTTTCAAGGCCTACCTTCAAACTCAGTGCCTCTTTGCTTGACATCATGGGAAAATCAAAAGACCTCAGAAAAAAAATTGTAGACCTCTACAAGTCTGGTTCATCCTTGGGAGCAATTTCCAAACGCCTGAAGGTACCACGTTCATCTGTACAAACAATAGTACGCAAGTATAAACACAATGGGACCACGCAGCCGTCATACCGCTCAGGAAGGAGACGCGTTATGTCTCCTAGAGATGAACGTACTTTGGTGCGAAAAGTGCAAATCAATCCCAGAACAACAGCATAGGACCTTGTGAAGATGCTGGAGGAAACAGGTACAAAAGTATCTATATCCACAGTAAAACGAGTCCTATATCGACATAACCTGAAAGGCCGCTCAGCAAGGAAGAAGCCACTGCTCCAAAACCGCCATAAAAAAGCCAGACTACGGTTTGCAACTGCACATGGGGACAAAGATCGTACTTTTTGGAGAAATGTCCTCTGGTCTGATGAAACAAAAATAGAACTGTTTGGCCATAATGACCATCGTTATGTTTGGAGGTTAAAGGGGGCTACTTGCAAGCCGAAGAACACCATCCCAACCGTGAACCACGGGTTGGCAGCATCATGCTGTGGGGGTGCTTTGCTGCAGGAGGGACTGGTGCACTTCACAAAATAGATGGCATCATGAGGAAGGAAAATTATGTGGATATATTGAAGCAACATCTCAAGACATCAGTCAGGAAGTTAAAGCTTGGTCGCAAATGGGTCTTCCAAATGGACAATGACCCCAAGCATACTTCCAAAGTTGTGGCAAAATGGCTTAAGGACAACAAAGTCAAGGTATTGGAGTGGCCATCACAAAGCCCTGACCTCAATCCTATAGAAAATGTGTGGGCAGAACTGAAAAAGCGTGTGCAAGCAAGGAGGCCTACAAACCTGACTCAGATACACCAGCTCTATCAGGAGGAATGGGCCAAATTTCACCCAATTTATTGTGGGAAGCTTGTGGAAGGCTACCTGAAACTTTTGACCCAAGTTAAACAATTTAAAGGCAATGCTACCAAATACTAATTGAGTGTATGTAAACTTCTGACCCACTAGGAATGTGATTAAAGTAATACAAGCTGAAATAAATCATTATCTCTACTATTTTTCTGACATTTCACATTCATAAAATAAAGTGGTGATCCTAACTGACCTAAAACAGGGAATATTTACTAGGATTAAATGTCAGGAATTGTGAAAAACTGAGTTTAAATGTATTTGGCTAAGGTGTATGTAAACTTCCGACTTCAACTGTACATGGTAAAATAAGGCTTGAATAAATCAATGACTAAATAGATATTTACATATGCATTGAACAATACATAATAAAAATAGGTCCAGAACAGAGGAGTGACTGACCTCCGTTTCAGACTGTGTGGGGCTGAGACCAAAGCGGTCGGATATCATAGAGTGGATCTGTTTCTGACGGTCCTTCTTACGGACGCTCTCGTAGGACGGAAGGCGGGGCAGGGTCCCATCCAGGTGGTAGCTGCTGGGCTTACCAATAATAAAAAGCCTCCCTGGAAGCTGCAGACACACACCAAACATGTTTATATGATATCACTTTTTCTATTTTTCAAGAGTTGATCTGATTGGTCAAAAGACCAGTTAGTGGAAAAAGATCTGAATTGGGCTGCCTGTGTAAACGCAGCCTGATTACAGTAATGAGGTACATCAAGGTCGATGTTTCCTACTGGGCATAAGGATAATTGAAAACAAATGGCACTGGTTTGAAAAAAAAAGTAGTGGTCATATTCCATTCAGTACAGAAATGTGTAGGCGGCTTAACTTACCCTGTCCCGCGGCTCAATTTACCCCATACCCGGATTAAGATATTTTTTTGGGACAAGCTATGTTTTAAAAACTGTAATGTTTACATGTATTCTGATTATTTCCAGGTATACACACCATCCTGAAATATATGTAGATATCTTTGTTAGAAATAATACTATATTTCCCTTGACAGATTGATGCTGAATGTGATGCTGAATGTAAAAAAGGGATAAACTTACCCCGCTCTCCCCTACTATGTAAAGACAGAGGCTTTTTTTCACCTGGGATCCAACGTTTCTGTGGGCCACGGCAGCAGTATGTTCATCGTAGGGAGACTGTCTTCTGTTGTACTGGGATGGAGTGTCCTGGGTGAGAAGAGGGAAGACTGGTTAGAGTCTGTCTACACTACAGTGGAGAATTGTCTTAAATCTTACCGAAGTTCAGTCGATGTAAAATAAAGTTATTATATTATACTCTGTTCTATTCTAATATGTTATGTTCTGTTCTATACTCTCCTTACAATTAGTAATGCTGCAGCGACAGCAAAGACATGACAACAGTTCAATAAAAAATCTCCAATGAATTAACCTCAAACCAGATTACTAGGCGGTGATTGAGTAACATAGCTATATATCAAATCAAATCAAATTGTATTTGTCACATGCGCCGAATACAACAGGTGTAGACCTTACTTACAAGCCCTTAACCAACAATGCAGTTTTAACAAAGAATATTAAAACAAAAAAATATCATACAAAGATACAATATAAAATAATACGAAATAAAACTAACAAATAATTAAAGAGCAGCAGTAAAAATAACAATAGCGAGGCTATAGACAGGGGGTACCGGTACCGAGTCAATATGCGGGGGCACCGGTTAGTCGAGGTAATTGGGGTAATATGTACATGTAGGTAGATTTATTAAAGTGACTATGCATAGAAAATGTGGTCCTCTGTAGCTCAATTGGTAGAGCATGGCACTTGTAACGCCAGGGTAGTGGGTTCGATCCCCGGGACCACCCATAGGTAAAAATGTATGCACACATGACTGTAAGTTACTTTGGATAAAATAAAATGGCATATTATTATAATAAACAGAGAGTAGTAGCAGCAGTGTAAAAGAGGGGTGGGGTGGCAATGCAAATAGTCTGGGTAGCCATTTGATTAGTTCAGGAGTCTTATGGCTTGGGGGTAGAAGCTGTTTAGAAGCCTCTTGGACCTAGACTTGGCGCTCCGGTACCGCTTGCCGTGCGGTAGCAGAGAGAACAGTCTATGACTGGGGTAGCTGGAGTCTTTTACAATTTTTAGGGCCTTCCTCTGACACCGCCTGGTATAGAGGTCCTGTATGGCAGGAAGCTTGGCCCCAGTGATGTACTTGGCCGTACGCACTACCCTCTGTAGTGCCTTGCGGTCGGAGGCCGAGCAGTTGCCATACCAGTCAGTGATGCAACCAGTCAGGATGCTCTCGATGGTGCAGCTGTAGAACCTTTTGAGGATCTGAGGACCCATGCCAAATCTTTTCAGTCTCCTTAGGGGAAATAGGTTTTGTCGTGCCCTCTTCACGACAGTCTTGGTGTGCTTGGACCATGTTAGTTTGTTGGTGATTTGGACACCAAGGAACTTGAAGCTCTCAACCTGCTCCACTACAGCCCCGTCGATGAGAATGGGGGTGTGCTCGGTCCTCTTCTTTTTCCTGTAGTCCACAATCATCTCCTTTGTCTTGATCAAGTTGAGGGAGAAGTTGTTGTCCTGGCACCACACGGCCATGTCTCTGACCTCCTCCCTGTAGGCTGTCTTGTCGTTGTCGGTGATCAGGCCTTCCACTGTTGTGTCATCGGCAAACTTAATGATGGTGTTGGACTCGTGCCTGGCCATGCAGTCATGAGTGAACAGGGAGTACAGGAGGGGACTGAGCACGCACCCCTGAGGGGCCCCCTTGTTGAGGATCAGCGTGGCAGATGTGTTGTTACCTACCCATACCACCTGGGGGCGGCCCGTCAGGAAGTCCAGGATCCAGTTGCAGAGGGAGGTGTTTTGTCCCAGGATCCTTTGCTTAGTGATGAGCTTTGAGGGCACTATGGTGCTGAACGCTGAGCTGTAGTCAATGAACAGCATTCTCACATAGGTGTTCCTTTTGTCCAGGTGTGAAAGGGCAGTGTGGAGCGCAATAGAGATTGCATCATCTGTGGATATGTTGGGGCGATATGCAAATTGGAGTGGATCTAGGGTTTCTGTGATAATGGTGTTGATGTGAGCCATGACCAGCCTTTCAAAGCACTTCATGGCTCCAGACGTGAGTGCTACGGGTCGGTAGTCATTTAGGCAGGTTACCTTAGTGTTCTTGGGCACAGGGACTATGGTGGTCTGCTTGAAACATGTTGGTATTACAGACTCAGACAGGGAGAGATTGAAAATTTCAGTGAAGACACTTGCCAGTTGGTCAGCGCATGCTCGGAGTACACGTCCTGGTAATCCGTCTGGCCCTACGGCCTTGTGAATGTTGACCTGTTTAAAGGTCTTACTCACATCGGCTACGGAGAGCGTGATCACACAGTCATCTGGAACAGCTGATGCTCTCATGCATGTTTCAGTGTTACTTGCCTCAAAGCTAGCATAGAAGTAATGTAGCTCGTCTGGTAGGCTCGTACACAGCTCGCGGCTGTGCTTCCCTTTGTAGTCTGTAATAGTTTGCAAGCCCTGCCACATCCGACGAGCGTCGGAGCCGGTGTAATAGAGCTATAATTAAATTTTCTTCAATAATATACTCCACTAAATTAGAATCAGTCTTGATAAGGGATGCCAGAGCTGTTCTCCTTGTCTGATACATGTTATGCACAATTGACCACACAATGGAAAATGCCTTTGCCAAATTCTACAGTTAGACCAAACAGTATCTTTCTTTATCCCCCTGTCTCGGCTCTGACACTCTGTTGCGGTCTCATGGATACCTTTCCCTTACTGATAACAGTATATGGATTTTAACACAAGACATCATTGTGCACACACAACCCCCCTGGCAGCCTCCATAATAACACAGCATAATTTGTAATATAATCAACTGATACTGGTTTAACAAGGAAACAGTGTTGATATTTTCAATGTCAATATTGAAACGGTTTGGTTTGAATGATTGGAAGGGAGTGGGAGGCAAATGGGGCTAGAGTATGGCCTTCACTATAACTGACTAGCATGTGATGCAAAGGAAAAACACAAGCCTGAAAGGTTATCTCAGATGAGTAGCCTGTGGTTGAATAGGAAATTACCGTATATTAACAGAAGAATAACAATGTTTTTTGATACAACCAACCAAAAGGTAATAGGAGAGTTTAACTGTGGTTGCGTTCTCTATAGGGGAGAAAGATATGGATACAACAAGCAGGCGGTAATGATCTTAACCTCAGCTTGATCTCTCAGCTCTGTATCATAACAAATACAGAAACAGAGTCTCTCAGCTCTGTATCATAACCAATACAGAAACAGAGTCTCTCAGCTCTGTATCATAACAAATACAGAAACAGAGTCTCTCAGCTCTGTATCATAACCAATACAGAAACAGAGTCTCTCAGCTCTGTATCATAACAAATACAGAAACAGAGTCTCTCAGCTCTGTATCATAACCAATACAGAAACAGAGTCTCTCAGCTCTGTATCATAAGAAATACAGTCGCACAGGGAAATATTATTCACGTAAACCTTTTAAAACAGCCACTCCTATACAGTAGATCAGTGTTTTTGACCCTTTGTTGATAAGATCGGCCACCCATTGTTTTATAAAATGGGCACGTAATCCCACCAGACTAGTTACAGTACATGGTCGGCGTCCCAAATGGCACCCTATTCCCTGTGTGTCCCAAATGGCACCCTATTCCCTATAAGTGTTCCAAATGGCACCCTATTCCCTATAAGTGTCCCAAATGGCACCCTATTCCCTATAGGTGTTCCAAATGGCACCCTATTCCCTATAGGTGTTCCAAATGGCACCCTATTCCCTATAAGTGTCCCAAATGGCACCCTATTCCCTATAGGTGTTCCAAATGGCACCCTATTCCCTATATGGATAATTCTACAGAAGTGGTGCAAATTGCAGTCACACCCAAAAAAAACTATTTTAAAAAACAGTTAAGTCTCCAAACTTAGGAAATGTATTTACATCATGATATGTTCTAATTCAATCCAAGGCAATAACAAACATATTTGAACCCTGTACTCCTGAGTGGCGCAGTGGTCTAAGGCACTGCATGCCACTAGAGATCCTGGTTCAAATCCAGGCTCTGTCGCAGCCGGCCGCGACCGGGAGACTCATGGGCGGCGCACAATTGGCCCAGGGTAGGGGAGGGAATGGCCGGCAGGGATGTAGCTCAGTTGATAGAGCATGGCGTTTGCAATGCCAGGGTTGTGGGTTCGATTTCTACGGGGGGCCAGTATAAAAAAAATATATGTATTCACTAACTGTAAGTTGCTCTGGATAAGAGTGTCTGCTAAATGACTAAAATGTAAATATTTTTTTATTAATATAGTACAAAGTCATTGTTTATACACCTTTTTCTATTGAGAAGTGGCTGTCCCAAACAAACCCTTACCTAAAGTTAATGTTTGAAAATGAGGCAATTAATTATTTTTGTAATTGTTTTATTATTATTTCAATAGAACATAATGAGTTGTTCTATACTGAACAAAAATATAAACGCAACATGCAACAATTTCAACATTTTAATGAGATACGGTTCATATAAGGAAATTAGGTCAATTGAAATAAATAAATTAGGCCCTAATCTATGGATTTCACATGACTGGGCAGGGGCACAGCCATGGGT